TCAACCTTTTTTCGATGGTTTCACAGGTTTGTTGCGCAGCTGTGAATTGATGTGTAATTGTCTTGCGGGAGAATCAACGCCGATCTCCTCTGAGATCACAACAACATTTTCTGGCCTCATTTAACCATTTTCAAAACATAAAATTAGAGTAACTAATTGCACATGCATAATTTGTAGCGCTGTTCTTCGAGATTACAAACAAAAAAACCACCCACAGTGCGTCCCAAAAATGTTAACATGACTTTTCCAACTGATGCCCGGCCAGAATCGTTTCCACAATTATGGTCTCAACCACTTTCAATTGTTCTTACAGCCTTCTGCAAATTCTTGTGTTTCATACAACTTACATCACTTCCACTTTAATCATTATAAAGCAGAGTTAGCCAACTGTAGCCTGGTGGGCTGCGGTGTGACCTGTGCATGCTCTTTTCTGGTGGCTGGGCGAAAATGGTTACACAGGTAATCGTTAATTAGTCACAAAAAGGAACCAGTGGATACCAATATAATCACATACTCGCAGTTCGAAATTGACAGTTAGATTTAGATTGGATTTTATGCCAATGTATATTTGCCAGTTTTTACCATTTGTGTAGGGAACTTTTTTTTTGACATCAAAATTATATTACAAAACACCACACACACAGTAGAAGAGAGAGAGAGAGAGAGAGAGAGAGAGAGAGAGAGAGAGAAAGAAAGAAAGAAGGGGTAAGTCTTTAGCCTAACGCACAATCCATGTCTGCAAACACCACCTCTTGTATTAGCAATTTGACAAGGCATGAAATACCTTTGGTATCCCTGTCACTTTTCGCAGCCCATGACCGTGTGCCATCATATTTCAGAGTGAGAAAAGTGGATAACTTTAGTTGGAAGAAAGAGAAATCACTTATTCTGTTCTTGTTAGTCTTCAACATACTGCAGCCACTACTCTGGAAAGAGTAAACACCCATCTGTAGGCAAATCGTGCTCACTTTGAGCCTTTACTTGACGGTCAGTTTTTTTGTAATTTTAAAGAAATGATATTTTATAATTTTTTATTAATTATTTTCAATAATTATTACATTACGACTGATTGACGTTCTATTGGTATTTCCAATAATTCTATTAAGGCTTTCTTATTTGCTAAATAATCAGATTGAATAATAATAATAATAATAATAATAATAATTCATTATTATTGTTATAAATATTGAAGAGCTTCGTAGTAAGTTTCTCGAGATATTCTTCTGATCTCTCTCTGAGCTGACTTACATTAAATAATAATAGTTGGTGTTAATAAATTGATAAACAGTTTTAACTTTCCTCCACATCTTCAGTATTACAGTGGTTTCTTAAGCATACTGAACAGAATTGCCCAAAGAGAAATTTATTTCTTGCTCATGTCTCTGCTCATCCCCCCTCCCCACATCCCCTCTGTGCAGTGCGACAAGCTTCCGCCATGAGAGCTGTGTACCTGAAAGCCTAAGAGCGTGAATGAGAAACACACTGCAGAAACAGGAAAGTTGCTGCAGCTTACAATCTGACGGTCGCCGCCTCTGCTGTCTCAACATGCGAGGCAAAGCTGTTTTGAAAGGTGCCAAAAACACACGGTTGCCAAATTTCCAAAACAAGAACAGACATGGGTAGCGAGTTAAGGTAATGATCCTGTATATAATGAGTGTTTATGATTAAGTCTCAAAACAAAATTAATTTACAAATTTTTCCAAAAAAATACATCAAGAACCTTTGAAAAATTATTCAAATACAACCACAGTTTCATTAGAATGAGAGAAGTGCTTGACAAACAATAGTTATTAAAAGTTCTGTTTAAAGAAAGAAGCTGGTCACAAGCAGAACACAAGACAAACGAGTCAAGTATAAGGGAGGAAAAATAAATAGACTAAAAAAAAGAGATAACAAAGGAGAACAAGATAAAGAAAACAATATCAGAAGAGCCTAGAAATATTTATCTTTGGTTTACAAGAACTTAATTACCTGAATGTGAACCCAGTCGACAGCATTTCGAACGTCTTGGAAAATAGATCTGAAGGACATAAATAAATCACCTCCTTTCACACCTGTTTTCTCCCTGAAATTTCATGAAAAGTAACATTCAAGAACATTCAACAGTCTTAAACATTAGAATATTTTTTATTCACATTCCAATAAGTATTTCCAGAATGAAGAAATATCAAAATTCTGCTGCAGCATATTATTCTCACCTGGTATATTGTGGTGAATTTGTGAAGAAGTCAACAAGACATGCTAACAAATAGGTCTCTGGCAGGTTAAAAAGAGTGTTTAACACATACACTCGAGATTCATCCAATTGGAGAAATTTATTAGGATATAATTCATAGACTTGTGACCTAAACATTTTAAAAATACATTATTTAATGAATACAGAGCATGAAATATTAATTTCTATGATAATTAATTTCATGCTAAAAAATTATCTTTCACTGATTTGATGTCATTATAAATACCAATTAACACTAGCTACACCAAGGTATAAAAGGTCCCATAACTAGTTCAGGGGAGGCTCCTGAGCCCACCACTTAAAATTCAATTTTATTGATGTTTTTTGACGATTTTGGTAAATTACTAAAATGATATAATTATTAACATACAAGTTCATTCATTTAAACAAAAAACATTGTTCAATTTCTAACTCTATAAATGAAAATTGGAGGTGCTGCAACAGCACATACGATCCTCCTAATGGTTATATAATGCTATAATATTGCAATTTATATACACACATTCGCACACACACTCACACATACATATTAATTCTATATTATCTGCATTTGCATCCTTCCCAACTTTAATACAGTTGAATTTACCATTTACTGAACTTTAAGAGAATGTAACAAATATTCAGTAAATAAAACTGCTTTATCCCAGCCATATTCCATCTAACAATGAGAAGCTATTACGAGAAATTACGACAATACCATATCGCAGAGATTGTATTGTATGGCGTGAAATATTATATTAAATTACTAATTAAATAACTCCTTATGATGTAATAACTCATGAAAGATTCTAGCAAAAAACTGCAGGAAATTCGAATTTTCGACTATTTACAAAATAATGTTTAACTAGTAAATTTTTTAAAAAATTTACATGACGGTTTTAAAAGCATCGATTCCAATTAACAAAAAGCCTTTATCATCAATACTGTGCTTCTGCAATGTTAATTTTTTTAGTTGTTTGCAATTTTTGAAAATACTGAGGATGAACTGACTAAGGGAACAGCACCCTTTACTATCTCTTTACCATTCTTTGTTAAGTACAAGGAAAAAATTCAACCCAGCAGTGCACACAGGTGAGACACCTGTGGACCTGGATCTGAGACACCTAGGAAATCTTTACTCTAATATTGTAATAGCAGTTTGGTAGCCTCTGACCACTACTTCCCGATATCTACTCCTGTAAGAGATATGAGCCACTCCTCCTCTGAGAAAGGGAGTATTGGTATCCTTTCTACCTATGAGACATTCCAAACCATTTTTTGGGCCTCACAAACACCTGCGAGCACTAGTGCAATGCTTTCATTCAGAACGTTACGCAACATAACAAAATATTGGTGACAAATACGCAAAAAGTTTATTTGTTTGGAGCATTCATTAAGAGTTTGTAAAGCATGTAATGAAGGAAAGTTGTCAGATATGTAAAATAAATAAAATAGAATGAAAATAATATTCCAGCCTCTTTAATTTTTTTAGCTTTGTTAATTTGCATACAACCACGAAAAACTAATAAACTATTTAAAAATATATTTCATTACTGAAAATAATATCCATCTTTATTTACCTGGTGCACTCCCTTAATCAAAATTAAAGGGGAAATTGAATTAACGCAACTGCAAGCAGAAATGTCCTGCGAGACTAGGCGCATGCACTGACAATACAGAAAGAGGTGCATGTGCTGCCAGGTTAAAGAAAACATTTGAAGCAGTTTTTGAGATATGGTTTAAAAATTGCCTGTTTCAAGTAAAATCATGCAAAAACTATTCATATTTATGAAAAATTGAACATGCCTTTATTTGAAGATCTATTTTTGCTGAATAGATTTCATTAACCCAGAAGTGCCCGAAATAGATCTGTGAGATCCAAGCCACAGCAATTTTTTGTTCCTGAATTATTGTGATGCATTAGTCATCCGATATTTCATGTAGTCCATCATTTTACTTTTCTGAGAAAGCCAGACCTTCTATTTTGATTCTTTAGCTGGATAGTTTCCCATGAGCATGTTGAAACTTTAACACAGTGCTGCATGATATCTGTCAGATATATAGCACACACGGGTGCTAGTGTATTGTGAGCTCCTTGCCTAAGCGGTACATATCATGGCATTACAAGTTCCTATTCAGAAAATGTTCTCATTTGTGTTATCTAGGATCGGGTGTCACAATTTCTTCCCAAAGACAAAAATGTGCAGGAGAGGACAGGACAAGGACCCATTAGTGTAGTATCCATTAAAAATAGCTTTGGGAGAACATATACAAACTAAATAAAATACGTATTTCAGTAAATAGGGCTTTAAATCATTCACATTCATATGTTACAGCTATATCTGAGAGACACATTGCTGGCACTGGTGTGAGTCCATTATTGTGGACACTTCCGGGTTAAGGATAAATCTCTACTGTCGTTATTATAATCAGAGGAAGACGTAGAATTTTTTAAAAATATTTTGCAATCTTTATAAATTTATGGTGTGCAATGAAGATGTAACCTATGCCACCTCTTTGTCTTTGGTGCTATCAGAGGAACAAATTTGGAGCTGTTTTTTTTAAAAAAAAAAAATTGAAAATGAGGTTTTATATAATGTAGTTCCAGAACTCAAAATATATTTGAAGTTTATGGTGCCACAACTTCAGAGAGTTCAATCGCAGAATATCGATTTTGGTGAAAATCCTGCTTACAATTTACCCGTTAGCTTTGTTCACAGACAGATTGACAGATGTTTTGCTGTCAATCGATTGTTTGGTATCAAAAACCCATTAAACGGGCATTTTAAAACACAAATTTTTAGGGGAAGAAATTTACAACATACAGGAACAAGATTTATACACTTCTTCATTACCATGGCTCTGTTATAAGTTTCTCTATTGAAAATTCACCACTTTTCCTGCAGCATTATAACACCGTGCCTGATCTGGATACACAGTATGCGAGAAAGCAAAAATAATCTAATCCTTTGCATCAATATTTGTATTTAAAAACAAAACATCTAAGAACTATATTCTATAAAGTCTTAAAATTCTACAAATGTTTCCAAAACATATTATAATTATATTTTTTACACACACAGTCAAAGATGTTGCTATAACTCAAATAATAAACACTTAATATACTGCATCATATTTTGAACAAAAATACAGTGAAATTTATTTGAATCAAATACAAAATTAATGAATTGCAACTTTCAAAAAAATTGAAACCCCATATCAAACTATCATAATGATCAGTTGGCCCCTGAGGCCTCTCCTTGGTAATGCTAGGTTTCAAAAACTACACCAAACAAAACAACGAAGAACCAAGTTTTCTGACAGTAGTAATACATAGTCAATGCAAGGCCCTGGCTGGCAAGTTCTATAATTTTAAAACATAGGAAGTATGAATTTACAAATCAGGATGCAAAGACTTGTTTATTGGGACCCGAACTTTGAAGTCAGAATAAATTGAACAGCTGTCCAAATGCTTTGTTATTTATAATAGCAAATATGAAGTAAACATGTTATTCACAGAATTTATAAAATGTCACTTATACCGTTCTGGTTTTTACCCATTCATATATGTGATATATGTTTGTGCTGTATAGTTTTAAGTTTGTCACAAGTATCATAGTGTGCTTACATACCTCATATAGTTACCTTGTGGTTCAGTTGACTGAGTGTAACTATGTAAAGTGAAGTGTAGAATTTTCTTACATTTAAAAATGAATAGACTATGCCAAAACAATAAGTGCAAGCTTTGTCGCTGAATTGTTAACAGGCACAAAATTAAATAATCCTGAAGAGATTTTTTGTTGCATAATCCTCAAAAGGTTCATGCTCTTAACTGGAACACTTTACTAATTACAATAAAATATCAGCATTGTGCATTGTGCATCAGCAGCAAAGTTTTGGGGGACTCTATCATTATTTTATTATAGCAAAATTTTATTATATTGGAAAAAGTCAATTCTTAGGATCATAAACTACTGTATATCCATTTCAGGATCTACATGACTTCAGCATTCATTCACAAATGAAAAAGCTTAATGTTAATTAGATAAAAGGGATGACTACATACAGTAATTGTAGGTGTTTCGAAATGTTTCACCACAGTTGTCGAATTGGATTCACTAATTATTTTTGGCTGTTCTTACTTACTGTAATGAATTTGCATCAGACCCCTTTTTAAACTAAGATGCCTTTGGGGTGGATACAATTGGAATGAGAAAAATACAATAAAAAACAAGAAATTGTAATGCCAATTGGAGGTTTGTAAATGTTGAGCCCCTACCCAACTAATAACATGACTTCTTTATTGAAAGACATGTCACCAACACCAATTGCATTCATGATTGGAATATGGCTAGAATAGAATTGTTCGAATTCATATACAACATACGAAAATTTTTATTTATAATAGGATGAATTTAAATTATATTTTGAAAGAAAGAAATTTTTAAAATTTTGAAAAATTTGAATTTGTTATTGGGAAAGTTTGAATTTTATTAAAACGAAATTGTTTTGCACATAACACAGAAGCAAATTGGCAGGGATCTGAAAATAATTTCATTACATCAGTGTTCATTATAACATTTCACAGAACTTGGAAAAACCTATTTCATTAGACCTTAACACATTCGATCCTGAGTGATATGCCACATGGTTAACTCCTATGTCCTGGGCAATTTAGCTGTTATTCAAAATGTTTAAAATGAAAACTGTCGTACACTTAAGTTGAATGAAAATTGATAAAATCTTGTAGTATTGGCTTTTTACTCTTTAAGTCTGTACATATTTTATGTTCATTTGATTGTAAGATGGTAGTGAGAATGAAATTCGAAGAAACATGTTGTCAATTTTATATTTTGGGGAAAAGTAACAATGTTACAAAATAAAGGGGAAACACAGGAACTTCATGTGTCTACAATACTGGTCACTATAATTGTTGTATTTTGTTGACTTTAGATATAGTTCAATTAGCATATCTATTTCTGGCTGTCTTTTCTGAAATATACTGTGGTAAAAAAATGATGAAAAATAGTCTAGTTCAGTTGAGTCTTCCTTTACAGGAAATTATAATTCACTGGTTTTCTCAAACAGGTAATTCAGATTGGATCAATTTCACAGCATTCTGAAGGAAATGATAACTTTCAAATTTAAAAAGATCCACCAATAGAAGCATTTGCATCATTATTTCTCTCTTCGTTATAATTTTCATTGCTCACACTAGACAACAGTACAGAAATAAAATCAATGTACTTGTCAGAAGAATCCATTTCATTTCAATCCATTATTCAAAAACTCTCAAACTTCTAATGTTGTTGAGAAATTTTACAACTATGTCTTCCAAACATCTGTATATGTCGCTAACAATACAAACACTACTTACTAAAAAGACATTCTGAGCATAATTTAATTCACAGTGGCCACAAGTATGAATATCCAATCGCTTCCTGGAAAATTCCAAATACTTACACAAAATAGAAGCACACATTGTTATTTGTCCTGTGACCCCCTTCATGATATTAAAAAGTGTATTCTAGGTACCATGAATGTTTGAAAGACATTAATTGCCAGCCAAAGACAATAAATGTAGCAGGACGTATCACATACATCCATAGGACACAGCAGAAAAATGAAAATGACTATCAGTAGGAACGAAGGTGTTAAAAACGTTAATATAGAATGTAGCACTGGATGACAATTATTTGTATTGAATAAACTAAAAAGATTTAGATATTACTGTTTCATACACTATGGATCTGCTATATAAGTGGTAAAAGCTCCAGTAGTGCCACAGTCAAGAACATTTTCGTAGCTTTCTGTAAGTTCTTGCAGTTCAGTATTCAAGATATGTGAAACTGAATGGGTGATTGGGGTATCTCTTTGATTACAAATGACCAATTTTCAATTTGATGTATTTTTTATGAATTTATTTTCAAATCTAGGTTTGCTGTAGTAGTAGCCACTTTAAAATTGCAAAACTTTAGTGATTGTCAGATACTGAACTCTGTAATGAGCAATCAGTATTCTAGCCTTTGAATATGTTTGAGGCATTTATTAGTCCAATAACGGTTCATGTTACAGTATTGCAGTGCCTATATTAGAAATATATTTTAAGCTTATTCTTCAAGCATAAAAGAAAAAAAAAAGAAATTGGCCTCGTCACATCACTAGCCTTCACATCACTACAAGACCCCTCCACCCCATTTTGCAAGTTTGAAGCAATCTAAAACATCCAAATAGTATATATATATATATCTCTATATCTCTCTCTCTCTCTCTCTCTCTATATCTCTCTCCTTTTTTTTTTTTTTTTTTTTTTTTTTTTTTTTTTTTTTTTTTTTTTTTTTTTTTTTTTTTTTTTGCTGGAAAAGACCATTACTGGTCACTTTAAGCTAATATATCTGGATGTCTATTCTCTCAGATATTGTAGTCTACTTCAATTTGGACAGTGAAAATCCAAATAAACAGCATATTTTTTAAATAAATGATCAACTAGTAATTATAATAGTTTTGAAATAATTTACCTCCTTAATTGCAATTTTATTTTATATTGTTTTATATTTTTTAATTGCACACATTGTGTTCTGTAACTTTAGTCAACTAAGATCTAATAATTTGTTACAAACTACGAAAAATAAAAATTTACAAGATAAAAGTCAATCCTGAAAATATTAACAGCTGAGTGTTCAGCATACTTACTGCTTCAAAAATTCAAACCCATGAACGCATACCAATATATTTCCGTAAGCATCAACTTTCAAAAGATTTCCATATAGAGAATCAAACCAGAGACCTCTGCAAAAATATAGAAACAAAGATTACACAATTAATTTCATCATGAACTAAGACAACATAAAATTATCTTTAACACATTCACTGTCCTGTGTGGTTCACAAAACATAACACTCGGTGGTTTTGATATGTCTGTGAACTGTGTCTTGCTAGGATGGTCATAAAATTTAGAAACCCACTAGTAGGTGCAGAAAAACTATTTTTATTTTTCAGAATATTGCAATGAAATTATTATTATAAAGGTATTATAAAGTTTTGACGTGTGTATATATTTTAATGTTTTTGTAGGGACAGGGAACATGTTAAAGTTTCTAGTACACTGCTAGCAAAGAACAGTATGTAGGGAAGGTGATCACTAAATATCATCCATGCAATAAACAACACCCCTATTAGTCAGCATATCAGACAAACTTCTTTACTTCTGATAGGTGCATGCACAAGAACATTTTCAATTCTACCAACCTTACAGGAAAAGAAGGATCATAAACAAATTCTCTGATTTCTACGGGGTACCCCAAAGAAACCAATCGTTCCTTTACCAGATTGAAGCCCAGGCGTTCATATTGTGGGGATTTATATTCTGAAATAAGCAGATAATACATTAACATTAATACATCATATTACATGTGTAAACCCCACTATAATGAACTTCTTTATAGTGGAAAAAATAACAATAACACAATCATTACTTCAATTTGGTACCTTACAACCCTTCTGCTTTGACACATTCTCTCCACATAATAATTCTCAATAAAGGGAAAAAGTACTTGTTTCCTTGAGTTTCTTTACAATTAGTTTTCATTGTATTTTGTGACCTGAATCACTAATGCCACACATTTCTATTAAAATAGCTAATACATTTTGAAATACCTACTGCATATATATGAAAAAACACACTGCCACCATCAATAACTACTACATATCAACATCACAAACTCAATAAAAAATGCTATTTTAAACATTTTGATTTACGTATCAACCTTAAACAATAAATAGATTTATAAATGAAGATAATATACACCTACACACTAATTTGTTAGATCGAGTACCAATTCACAATTTTCTGGGATAGGGTATTTTAATACAGAATCTTACATAATTAACATTTAATATGCTAAATGAGGTGCCCATCAAAAGTTGTCTTTTTGAATGTACTTTGTTTTTTATCTGAAGATTTTGGCCTATTTGCATTTTTTTTCCTTCAATGGAAAATGCAATGACTTAGGTTACTTATTTATTTTGGGGAATTAGGAGTATTATCTGAAAATTTTATTTATTTATTTTATATTGCAAGCAATCGCTCAATTTACAGTATATATTACAATTGCTTGAAGTTTGCAAATTGTAATAAACTTATTTTGGATAAATTAATCAATTTGTTTCAACTAATCATATTTACATCAACATTAATTTTATTTACTAGACAGGATATACACCAAAGTGGGACATTATACTAAATGTTAGTTGTCACTATAGGGGTGTAAAACAGAACATTAATAGATCTAAAATTCTGTGTAGGGATTTTCCATGAAACAATAAATAGTAAATATGGACAGTCAACATTATTATGTAAAGGGTCATATAAAAACCATGTCGTTAAGGTTTTAATACTATGACAAAGGAAAAATCGTCAAAATTTCAGCATTTTGCAAATAGTCTTGAGATATTCTTGGCGATGTGAGTTTCAGTATCTAAGCTACAAAAAGTAAAAAAATTGTGTTGAATTGATTCAATTTAATCTGAGTGTATAGCATGAAAAGGAGTCCAGATATAGCAAAACTGGTCTAAGGAGTCGTCCATAAATTACCTAACGCTTAAGGGGGTGGGAGGGGGTTTGAGGCAGCGTTACACTACGTTAGGTAGGGACACGGAGAGTATTAGACTAATATTACGTAACATTGATACTTTTTTTAAAACACTTGTTAAAATACTTTCTTTTTTCTGAGTCTTGTACTAAAACATTAAAATATAAACTAATTAATTAGTTTTAAAATATAAATAATTAAAAGTACTTAGAAGATGTTACAATGGAAATATTTCTTCATCATTTTATATTAAATTTGTAAGATTACAGAAAAAAATATTCAAAACTGATCTGTACAATTTTGTGGAAATTGGCATAGTAGATTCTTGCCCATACACCGTCCATAATGGAGGTGGGTGTACGGTTTGTGATCAGATATTTTCTCGTCTGTGCATCCTTTCTTTACTCAAAATTTACCTCAAATCTTATTGTTAGGTGCAACCAGTATAGGCAACGAATTTCGACATTAATTATCATAAATTTTAATACACAATACAAATAATATAATTTTTTTTTTACTGAGCTATAATTTATTTTCACTTCTTGCATTTGCAAATGAGGGGAGTTGTCAAAATCGTTAAGTAATTATTTTGGGTGATCAATCGCTCATTACGAGAGCATTACAGGGGGAGGGGAGATATTCAAAACACTCCAATGGGACCCTTCAATGACACCGTAAGCTACAGTCAGTTTTCTCAATATATAAGATTTATATTTCATACATTGAATTCTGTTACTCAAATAATTAGACATCAAATTTAATAAAGATCCATGAATACCTATTTTATTTAATTTTGACTAATAAAATATTATTATTGACAGTGTCAAAAGCTTTGGCAAAATCAATATAAATCACATCAATTTGATTTAATTTTTAAAGAAGAAAGTGCTGAGAAGATAATAAGTTGGTGGCTGTTGAACACTCATGTCTAAAACCGTGTTGCTGATCAATCAATTTAATTTGTTGAGAGCATTTTTATTTTAATATATTTGAATAATTTAGGGACAGAACTTAAAATGATTATGTCTATATTTTTTTTTTAAATAGTGTGATTCCCAGATTTACATATCAGTGTAATAAAACTATCTTTCCAAATTCAGCTTTAATGCAGCAACATTGTTAATAAAATATGAAACATTGGGAATCAGGTAAACAACACAATGATTTTAAAAAGAAGGCGGAATACCATCAGGTCCAGCTCCATTTTTTAAATTAAATTTTTGATAGCACAGTATATTTCTGTTTGGGTAATGGATATTTTGCTTAAATTAATTACAGAGTTTTCGTATTGATCAACATGAAAAGGATCATTTTTATCATTGGCAACATACACAGATTCAAAATATTCTGCAAAAATGTCTACAACACTTAGTCTGAACTTACAACAGTGTTGTTAAGTTTCGTTATGTTAGGTAATTCAGTTATTCCTCACTTATTATTCACATATTTCCAGAAGGATTTAATCTCATAAAATTTTCCATATATCAATTACATACTGTTTATAATCATCAATGACCTTAACCTTACATAATTTGTGAGTATTTGAAAACTTAATATAATCAGAATCGGGTAAAGTATTTTTATGAACACGATGATAAATGTGTAATAATTATTTTGTAATACTGAAACAATTTCTTTCCCTATTTTGAAATATAAATGCCAATAAATGTGTAATTCACTAATAATTGTCTATTTTGCGTTTAAATGAATAAATGTTGCACTTCCACGTATTCATCAAAATGCAATTATCCTTAATTAAAAATTTAAAAAATTGTACGTATGTTCGTTTTCATCTAGCTGACTGCAGAGGAATTTAACAACTATCAATACAGCCATGTTCTGTTTTACTGGCACCACAGTGCGGGTATTTCAAATTATGAAACATGTGCAAAATCGCTGGTGTTTTCTTTTTTTATTTGAATTTTTGAACAATTTTATTTACTCAAAAAACGGTTCCAAATTTTTCTTAATATTTTCTCCTCGTGTGTATCAGAGGACAGTATAAAAATCGGCGTGGTTCCCTTTTCTGCGAAACCTTGCATTTTCAAAATTTGCAAAACGTTAACATTGCAAAGTACAATATTGAATTCAGAGATTTTTGTCTTCAATGAAATATGTTCTAAAAACTCAATCTTTAAAAAGGCAATGCTTCAATTCTTTTCCAAGAATAAAATACAGGACACTTAAAAGAATGGCACAGGTCTCATTTTTGTTAAACCCTCTGAATTTTTGAAAATTGCAAATTTTGAAATATATTTTTAGATATAATCCGAGAAAGTATGTGTTGTAACCACATTTGTGTTATGCATGGCAATTAATACAGTTGTATGTATTTTCACTTATGTTTACATTAAGAGAAAAGAGAGCAGGTTTATTTTTTCTCTTACTACAGCCCAGCAATAATGAGTATTTTTGGGGGCGAATTCCGCCGTTTTCTGGCACACAATTACATAACTTTCTCTTCTTACAAAGTATTCGTAAGGCGAGAAAGTAATAATAATTTCCGAACCATTAGGATATATAAGTTGGTCCCATGAGTTCTAGTAATATTGACTTCATATTTAATGTTGATATATTCATAATTTTATTTAAATCGGTTCATACATATGACGAACTGCTTTGATGGTACATACGTTTCACAAATCGAACAAGTCATGAAAAATTGTTTATAAGTTAAGAATTAGCAAATCACATACTTACACTTCCAGTTTATTTATCGTAATTCTATTTGTGATTCGAATTGCTTCAAATGGTTTACAATATAGTTTCTGGAGTTCTCAAATATTTACTGTGGCAACAGAGAATTGTGACAAATAATGTTCCCCAACCAAGACTCGAACCAGACCCTCCTAAGGACAGTCTGTACACGCCAATTAGCCACCTCGGCCACCCGGGTAGTACATGGGATTTACACCAATATAATAGTAATAAGTGTATGGTGATTTCAGTTCTAGAATGAAGCCGAAAAATCGTGAAAACGTGAAAAAATGTCCGTTGGACGACCAAAGAAGGTATCCGGGAAGAGAATCAGTCCCAACCAAAAAGCTAGTTCCGAATAAAGGGATTTAAAAAAATTAAAAGAAAAAAACCCTGCAAGAATGTCTTTGCCACTCTATAGCACCACTAGTTTTTAATTATTATTTATTTATTTATTTGTTTTTATTTATCATACGCTGTTAAATACGAGGAAAAACTTCAATGGAAATATTACGTGTGGGCTTACATAAAATATTTTTAGAAATAGCATAGAGCGAAAACGGCTCAATTAAAAATATTTAAATAATAATAATAATAATAATAATAATAATAATAATAATAATAATAATAATAATAATAAAAGAACATGCCCATTTTTAAAGACCTCCTTTTACAACAGACTTCATATAAAGCAAAAGTAACTATCTCCAATTTTGTAGATTCGAAATGTTCACATTCTTTTGTCATTTTCGAAAAAATGGAGCTATGACCTGCACCATGTACGAGGCTAGCACCTTATATTTTACCGTCCCTTATTACATATGTGGAGAAATTTTAAAGAAAAAAATTGGAGCAATTTAAGAATTTCCCCCCGTTAATTTCAAGTGCAAATTACGCAACGCAACTTGTTCTTTTAATTGTACTCAGCCTTTTTCAAAGAGCTAATATTGTCCAACAGATTGCACGAGGTAAAAACCAACAATTTTGTAGTTTTAAAAACTTTGCCTGCAATTTTCGAAAAAAACGAGCAATACCATAAAATGCGACTGACACAATATTTTTACCGTTGTTTATTATATAAGTAAGGAAAATTTAAACAAAAAAAAATTGAAGCTGTTTTTAAGGGGGAAAATTGGGATAATTTCAAGAGCAAATTTCGCAAAACAACTCATACTTTCAAAAACTTGTATATGGCCTCTTTTAAAGAGCTAATTTTGTACAACATACTTTGAGGCAAACATTTTTAGCTTCAATTTTCTACTTTTAAAACTTTTTTTTTTTTGCAATTGTCGAAAAATTGGAGATGTCAACGAATATATCTGAACCATTCTCTGAAACGTCCTTTGCTCTATACAACAACAAATTTTAATTAAAAAAATTTGAGCCGTTTTTGAGAAAATTCTGAAAATGTTTTTGAAGCTTCATGTGAAGTACCCTCAAAAATCAAAATATCAGTTTCAAACTCCCAAAGCCACGAGTTCATTGAAATCGATTGAGGAATATCAATTTACAAGAAAATAGGCTGAAAGGTTTAGGTGCAAGCGTTGACTACAGACGGTCGTCAAACGATTTTTCGGAATCAGGAACCAACAAAACACGGATTCTGGGTACACCAAGAGTTGAATGATTTTCTTCTAAATATAGCAACATGATTTATCCACTTTTTTGTTACCAAAATCCAGCAATAAGGTTTTTTTCTGGCGACGATTACATAACTTTTCTTGCGAAGGGGGGAGAGTAAAAATAAATGTTTTTTTTTAGCTTCTTAAACAAGTTTAATTTTTAACTACATTTCGTCTATGAATATTGACTTAATTATCCTTATCATTTTATTATATATATCATAAAAATGTGTCGAGAATGTTTTGAGGCGTCTTGAGTGTGTGTGTGTGTGTGTGTGTGTGTGTGTGTGTGTGTGTGTGGTGTGTGGTGAGTGTGTGTGTGGTGAGTGTGAGTGTGTGTGTGGTGAGTGTGAGTGTGTGTGGTGTGTGTGAGAGAGTGTGTGTGTGTGTGTGTGAGTGTGTGTGTGTGAGTGTGAGTGTGTGGTGAGTGTGTGTGTGAGTGTGTGTGTGTGCGCACGTGTGTGTGTGTGTGTGTGTGTGTGCGCACGTGTGTGTGTGTGCATTAAAAAATGATAGTAATTTTTCATAATGGGTAAAGCATGTATAAATGAAGGGAATAGACTTCTAGAGGCATCTTCATACGTATGAAGAAGAAGGCAAAGAAGAAGAGTCAAAAAGACCCAAGGAAAAGCTGCAGAGTCTGTGACCATGTAACAGGCAGTAGCCTAAGCTGAGAGGTGAAGACAATGAAAAGAAAACTAAATTCTAATTAAATCATTAAATCTAATTTTACTCCATCTTTAAATAAACCCTAAGCCAACTTGCTTCTAGGAAATCTTGTTTAATGTTGAAAGACTTTTTCAATAATTCACAAACACTAGGCTTCTGTTAGCTCCACTGTGGATTAGCCTTGTTCTTTGTGTTTCACTGCTGTCAATATCAAAGAGAGGGAATTTTACATCAGATTAGAAATTTTAACTTTAACTGCCCCATTGCACAAGGCAAAAACAACATGCAGCTAGTATCAGAGTTCAATGTAAGATATCAAAAAAATATTTAATTTTTTATTGCATCTCTCAGTAATTTTGTGCAAACAGAAAAAATCATGCTTACAACAACCATCGCTTAAGGCACCCAAATTTCCAATTTTCTTCGATGATTGTTACTAGCAAAATTCACATTCAGCTCCACATCTGCTATTCTCTCACTGTTGTGATCAGGTCCAAGTAGTACAACAGCAATACAGCCAAGAGGTTTACGCAGAAAACTCAATGAAAAAAGTTGAGGACATACTGGAATACATGGCAGGAGCGAGAGGAATCTCAAGAGAAATAAAAGGACAAAACAACTTGTTTAAAAACAAATTCATACAAATCTTAAGAATTGTAATCAGAATCACTTATTAAAACAATTATTTTTGGTAAAATAATGCATTAATTGAGAAATTTATTTTCATCAAAAACAGTATAAACTGTATGTGACATACAGAGATAAGTATAATCTGGGCATGTTAATTTGAGCTCCAAAATTCCTGCCATACCCAAAAGAGTTGGGTAGGAATGTAGAGATGGAATGTAGTTATGAAATCTACATAGATGAATGGTAAATTAAAGTACTAATAAAGTTTGGGTTAGCAACATTTGTTACCAACTGTTTGTCTTCATTAATCCAATTTCTAAATTTTATATTATCATTCTCCGTTTTGATTAAAGTTTCCTATTCATTTACGAATTTACCTACGTCAACAACTTCCTTCAATACCCCTCTTCATGAATTTCATTTTTATTGATTTAGGGTTGAGCAGAAATAGTTTTCTGGGCAACTGTTAAAATTGTTTTATCTACTACTCCACTACCTCATTCAGAAATACATTAGGATGGCAAAATAGTAACTGTATCATCTTGTCAAACATTTTCAGTCAGAATAAGATCTGCAATTTCATTCAAGTAATCTGACGGGGGGGAAAATTCACTCAGCCATTCAGTTCCACAGTTCTTACAGGGAACTAATTTGAAAGTTTATAAATTTGCAAAGTTAAAGCTTGCAACAAGTATAACTGGAAGGATTGTAAAATATACCTTCATGAAACCAATAAATAAAAATAATGATTATCTTAAAAACATCAGAGAAAACACCCATAGACTGTGATTGACACGAGACAATTGGGATGTGCACATGCTATTGCTTTTTCCCTAATATCTATATTCAGAATTAAATAATCAAGAAATATGATTGTTACAAAATAAAACAGATACTGCCATTTCAATCATGCAATGTGTATCAGTTGAGTGTCCTGGCCTGTACACTATAGGAAATTTTTGTTCTCATATGGGAACAGTGGGCGATAAATGGATTAAACTTGTGAATTGTGTATTTTGGATGCCAAGCGTGGCATTTTAATCTTCTAATTGGTGAGCACAGATTGAAATAAGTTGTATATGTCACTCCCAGTATGCATGTATGCTCACCTTCAGGGAACTAAGTGAAAACAAATTGTGTTTTTTATTAGATAAACCCAAAAAACTGAGTCAAAGATGTTAAAGAAAGATCTTTATGCTACCTTTTGGATAAGATAAGCCTTAAGAATATGAAATTGTTACAGTAGAACCAGCTTCTGAAATGTGTCAGATAATATGAACTTCAAATATAGTTCTGAGAGACATAAAATGCTTAAATATTTTAATAAGTAATCTGGAAATAGTAAAATAATAATACGGTAAAGTAATACATGTTTGTTATTGAAGGATAGTACGTAGATGTAATGGGAAACTGACAGTGTGAACATTTGCACCAAAGTATCATCGGCGAAAATCAATTTCCCAAAATCAATTTCAAAAGACAACCACAAATTATTTCGGAAATTCGTAAGATGAACTATGGATGAAATAGGCAGGTCATGAAAAATGATTCTCAGCAAATAAACCGTTACCCAAGTGTTCCTTGATTCTCTTGGAAGCTCATGATCATTTAAAAGAAGCATAATGAAATAGCAGTCTGCATGTAAACGTTCAGCCCTGCTCCCCTGTGCAGTGATTTTATCACTTTTGTTAGCTCCTTGAACTTGAAATAATAACACAACATATCAATTTTCCTCACAATAACTTTAATCTTCAGGTTTCACTTAGCATAGGCATTAAAAGATTTTCCAGTTCCATCAATTCTTCCAAAAACTTCATGAATTTCCGCATGTTCAACATAATCTATGAAGAAAAAAACGCCTTTCATAGACAAAAGAAAACTAGAAACATGACAAGACGCGCCTACGCATTGGGGACCCAGGGAAATAATTTTTCGCGGCAGCATCGAACTCTCGTGTTCAATTCAGGCTAGCTGGCAACAATTTCCTTGTACGGCGGGTAAGACGTTGCGAGTGGACTCCGCTTAAGAGATACGACATGCAGCGGTGCAATGCGGGAAGCCTAGCCGAGTCAGAGGCTTGTCCTTCGTTTCGCGTTGAAAAATTCATACTAAAATAGATTGAAACATCTACGGGAAGAAAAAAATACCAAAATATATTCTGTGTGAAACCCACTTAGAAGCCCATTTATCGAGATTTCATTAAAGTCAAAAGAAACGGGCTGTAAAAAGTAGGTAATTCGCCACATCGGCACTCATCGAGTTTATGTATATAGCATTGATGAAAATAAATTTCTAGTACTGAGTTGTAGATTACACGGAATTCCAATTTAGGAGAGCTAGACCTATTGACACACCCCATTGTTATACGATCTCGTATTAGCTAACTAAGAATTTTTAGTAAGTAATTTTCTTGATACGCACGACAAAATTTCACGTTTTAATTCTATGAATCGGGGTCAAAACACATTGTCACTGTATTTGCAACGTCAGGAGCTTACGCATGAGTGCGGAGTTCTATGGAAGTTAATATGTTTTCTTCGTATTGCAAAATACAGTATATCATGCTGGCGAATGTCTACAATTTTGTTGTGAACCTAATAGCACAGACTTCGGAGTAATTATAGTACGTAGAATGAAAGACGAGGCCAATGACCCGGAACTGGCAGTAGGGCGAAAGTTTATCAGCTCTTCTTGCACTATACAAGAGATGCAGTGTTAATTGTTCGTAACACACTAGTTCAACCTAGTAAATACACTATTTAATACTTTTACTTCTCAATGTATCGCCTACTTACCGGCCAAGGTATAATCCATATCAAATCCATAGAACTTGATATTTTCCAAATGTAAACTACGATTCACAAAAACCCTGAAACAAGAGAAAAAAATCAAGGTCAAAAATGTCAATAAAAATTACATAAATACAATTTTTTATTTCTGTACTTTCGGAGATGTAATTGTTCAACTTCTTCCTTTCTTAAAAAAATATAAAATAAAAACAACAACTTAACTTTACAAGAGAGCTCAAAGACGCTTTTGTCCTCTGAATGAAAGAACATGTTTTGTTTCTTTCTAATTTCGTTATTTATGTCTTTTGGACAATTTTTGAATACATCCAGAACGGGCGATGATATTGAAAGCGTTAAACCATCCCATTTTAGCAAAAGAGGACATTCACCATCGGAGTACAGATTTATTCTCTGAGTTAGATATCAAAGGAAATAGCTAATAAATGTACAAAATGCTTAAATATTGACATAACACATCACGTAAGAAAACAATTTATCAAAGAACTGGGGAATAAGGTTGAGTTAATGTAGAAAATATAAGGAAAAGATCACATATGCTCAGAGAAGATACGCCCGGAAATTTCGTCCTTGAGGTTCACCATGAAGCAACATGTCGATGAAAACTTAATTTATGATTGACCCTTGGGAAAATCAATTTTAAATTCGGCCACCACAGTCAATAAGAAGCTCGGATACGAGTACGAGTATAAAGTCAAAACAAGAGCCACTTAAAGAGTGTTTAAATGCCCGCTAAGTAATGCTGATGCTATTGCATTCAGACGTAGTTCTTGAGGTAACAAAATGTAAAATAAATAAAAATTTTAAGAAAAAAGCCAGAAACACAGAATAAAATCAATATCGGTATTTTATCGTATTTTATATAGTAGTAAATTATTTAAGTTTATCCGATTTTTTTTCTTACATGTTATTTCCACGGTACAGTTTATCTGAAATTAAACTTCTTTTAATTTTTTAGTTCTTTTCCATTGAGGCTAGTATTTGAAGACTGAAGTTTTTGAAAACTACCAAGTGTATTTTAGACTGAGCGAGCTACCGTCGGTGCATTTCTTTACAATTTTAACTGACGAAATAGTGCAATTATTGAAGGTTTAGAAAAGAAGTATGAATCACATTTTAGATTATCATTTCATTGGTAAATTGCCTGCAGTATGACTCAGTGGTTGTGAAAGAAGTTGCTTCTAAATACTTCGCAGAATAACACCCATCATTCGACAATGAAATAATTTTATCGAATAACCTGGGATGTTTTAGGCAATTGCCGAGAGGAATAGCCACGTCCCACCGGATGTGCCAATTCTCGAAATAGGCGGAAAGGCCGAAGGAAGGCCGTGTGCTGACGGCATGTCCATTCCTGCCTCCAAGAACGTACGAAACTCGCAATTAAGGCACAGCGCAACATGCAGCTCAATTTCGACTTACCTTGCTGCACAACAGCATTATAATACAATCTGTTGTGTTTATTACCGCGTTAATTTGTTTATCGGCAATTATTTATTCCATAAAATACAAGCGAAGGTGAGATAACACGCTTTGCCATACACTTGCTTTTCGAAGCATATTAATGCCATGCAAATCAACATATACAAATGGCATCAAAAATAAATATTATTCTGGAAAATTACTTCCTATAACAGTTTGTGTAGTCAGGATCCTGTTTTGTAGCAAAGAATGCTTGAGCCGCGGAAGCTTACCTTTACATTTTTCTTTATTTTTTTCCCACATGTGGCGGAATATGGTAAAGAAAGTGGTGCTCGACCCATTGTCGGCGCACAATGCATTTTCAAAAAATAAATTGAAATGTTCAATTCGCATTCCCCGCGTTTCGTTTGAGGCCCTGTTAGTTTGCAAAATGGCAACATGGCGTTTCAAATTATATTCGAATGTTCTCATTGTCGCTTATCGCGATGATCGTATGATGTAGACAAAATTCTTACGAAAGGAAATATACTTAAGGAATGTCATATATTTTACATAGAACTAAAAAAATACATTTCTTTTACTTTAACCCTGTGGTACATGCGCTAGTAAAAATTGTTCGAGCACACGCAGTAATCTCCCAGATGAATAATATGAATTTTAGCCAATCTTTGCTTCTCAAACAACAACAAAAAAAAAACATCACATTAACACATGTACTAATATCGAAATTTCAGAACTTCATTCATCTACAGTATTTATCAATAATATGAACAAGATTTACTCTAAAAAGTTGTATTAGTTGTAAATTGTACTACACGTTCCGGCTTGCAATATGTTGCGCTGAGCAAGGTTCGATTGAGAATATTCTGGTGACATCGTAAATGCAATTGGTATGAAATGGAAGCTATGACATCTAAGAACAATAATAGATAGGTTCTGAGAAGGACGGTGTTTTATGAGACTATCAACGGAAGAACAAATCAGTCATCTGAGAGATCGACCATGTGTACCGAAGGGTTAAGAAGTTTTGATCGGTGATAATGATATTTAGAAATTGTTAGCTTACTTCGATGCAATCAAGGCAAGCTTCTGTGAAATATTCTCTTATCTGTATAAAGGGCAGGAAATACTGTCACAGTTAAATTAATTCATATTCGTTTCATTTGTAAAAATTGGAAATGACTACTGTTCCCGGCTATCGAAATAAACGCAGATATGCACCACAGGCGCTTCTTTTGAATTGGACTTTTTTCAAGTTATAACTAAGTTTTTACTATGGCAAAAATTACGATTTATGCCATACAGAAACAATTATATTTCAACTTTACTTAACTATTTCCAATAACGCGAGAAAGTAAGTTCTGTTGTAGCACCTCTAGTTATTTTTGGGGTAATTTAAAGTCTAGAGAACACACAACACGTGATGCACTCGTAATGCAACTTTTGAGATGTTTTGGAGGAAACCAGGAATAACCGGGAAGTATTGCAATCAGTAACTGTTTCCGTACTACAACGGGTCAACACGTTGTGCATCAGAGGACGTGGACATTTTAAGCAGCTTAAAGTATGTTAATTTTTATTTCGAAACAATCTTTTCTTTTGCAATTAATAAACAATTTAATAGATCCTGATGTGTTGTTTTTTTATTTTTGAATTTAGATATAGTTAAAATTAGATAGTAGTTTTTCAAAGCAACTTTCGAGAGCGTCTGGCAACTGAAACCACATGAAATCAGGCACGAGTTTATTAAGCAAAACACGCTTAAAATTAACGCCTTCGAGTGACTCATGAACAGTTTTCCATAGTGGGAGAAAATTGAGCTGTAGCTTTCTAATACAACCGTCTCAATGTCTACAGCTGTGTGACGGATGATAAGCTCAAGCAGACAACGTATGCTAGATAGAGTGATGGGAATAAATCATGCTCGCCACAAGATTCCTTCTCATAATTAAAAACTGGTCGTAATGACCTTCTGGACCTGAAAAAAAATGGTTATTTTTTAAAACGAAATAATTGGTACTAGAGTGGGAAGAAGAGCATTAGTGGAAGTGTAGTTAGCGTCGGTGGGATAATTATCTCAACAAACAGCTTATTCCTACGGGACTAAATTTTCTCGCTTTATGAGCAGTAATTTCAATATTTCTTAAATGTAAAATAGGGAAGAAAGCTTGGGTATCTAAGACACGGTACAATTTGATATTTTTCCGAAATGATAAGTATGTGTAGCGAAAAATACCAATTTCATAGAGTAATCATCAAATAATTGTTTCGTGAAATTTTGTATTCATTCAAATTCTCAGCAGGAAAGACCATGTGAAAATTCTAATTCAAAGATCAAAATATAAAAACAATAATTATATTATTACTGAAACAAAGAAATTACCATTGCCCACATAGTTCCACATCATGCGGACATGATTCTCAACAAGAATGAGGATTTTTGATGGATACTGCGGAACGATTTGTTCACGATTTAAAAATTCAGATTAGCAGAACACAAAGGCCATGTGGAAACTGGATGCAATCAGGGTTTTCCCGTTCCGCATTTCAACATTGGGGAGTACGGTGTTAAGATTATATTGCCGCTGCACGCCGAAATGAAGATAGCAGGGTAGTTGTCGAATGCAAATATAGTGGAGAGTATTATCAATTGTGTAGTTAAGCACTTCCTTGTGATCGCGCTTATCACCTGGAAATAATAATAATAATAATAATAATAATAATAATAATAATAATAATAATAATAATAATTATTATTATTATTATTAACGGTATAGCTGAACGTTAAGAAATAATTTAAACCATTTTAGACGACTAAAGAAGTAAACCTTATCTTATACATAACTTCTCATATTAAATTGAAGTTTCGTGGGATATTTCATCCATGCCTGGCAAGCGATTGTAATGACTCATTTGTACCACCGTTGCTCGTATGTGGACCACCCTGCAATTAACAGTAATTGACTGAATTTTATACGCACTTTCCTTCGAGCCGATAAGAACACCTGTACGTCAGAGAGAGCCAAGTCAATATATCAATTCATTAAAACCATATGTAAATGTGAATGACATTCCTGTACCCGAATTTATAATAAGTAGCTTAAGGTAAGAACGAAATAAAAGTAACAGAAATCCCGAACAATGGCAAATTGTTAGTGCCGTTCGTCTTCGAGGCCATTCACCTCACATATAACACCATCGTCTTATTAGGTCACTCCATAACTCCACTTAAAAGATGTCGCTGAACATCAGCTTAGATGGCAGACCCTACTTACTCTTTAGAAACGTTAGATCCGCGGACGTCATTGCAGTTTTCTGCAGGGGACTTCAGCAACATGACAACTGCACCTGATAGTCAACCTTATCTAACGGAATTCAGATCGTTTACTCACGCAAGGTACGTAATGAACCCGAAGATTAAGAATCCAGACGGCCTTGCAACCGCTGCCCACTGACGTGTTGCGTCAACCTCTGGGCCGCAGCGGAGACAGGTGGAGGCGTGTCGGTAGTCTAGACTCGCTACAATCGAGCTCTTTTCTTTCACACACACCAACAGCCATTCAAAGCCAATAGCAGCTACCCATCAAATGAATGAACTGCTTACGAGGCCCCGCATTACTCCAGCATCTCAAGAGCTCTA